GTTCAGAAAAAGATGAGTCCTGGAGCTGACCACGTTTGATACTTCTCATGACTCAGCTTGGCTCATAAAGAGGAGCAGAGAAATGAAAATTGTTGATGGCATCAGCCTCACAAAACAGGATTGGAAGAATAGGATGAAGTTGAAAACTGGAGTAATAAAAATGTAATAAAACTGCGATGAATTTCAGTAGTGCAAATACCTGATAAGAGCAAGAACTACTACTTTAAACAGGAACTTAACCAGATGGTAATGATGCAGAGATTCGTCTTAGATCTTTATTTTATCCCAGATTACGGCGCTTCTGGCATGGAGCCACAGGGAAGAAGGCAAAGGCAACTGCTGGATGCACTCGTGCTGCTGCAAGGCCATGGTGAAACATCACTGAACGTGCAGGGGACCGTGATCGCCTGTGGCTGAGACGGCCTCATCACCCTGGGAGAGACACAGAGACGGGTGGACAGAATCTGAGGAAAAACCACCTGGTCATGGGCAGATGACACTAAAGGACCTTGGCTAGCTGACCCTAGTGAGACAAAGACATGGAGAGGACATATTTGCTATAATATGTCCCATATAAATACATATTGATTATAAATACAATATGGGAGAAAATACATGGAAGGAAAAAAGCTTTTTAAGCTATGGGACAAAGTTTGCAAAAGAAGAGAGAGATACAAAATGACAGTGACTGCAAGAAGCCTGAAACACAGGATTCAGGCCCTGGAACACTTTTCCAGAGAAACTGTGGAGAAAAAGCATGCAGCTGAGGCTCAAAGGCCAGGGAGCTTTTTGACATCTGCATATTCTTCCACACATGTCATTTTGGATAGTCCAATGACACGAGTCAGCCTGGGAAGCCTTGCCTGTCGGTGCTGAAAGACCACCTCCAGAATCACGTATTGACAGAGCAATCAGTGGGGAGGATAAAGAAATGCGCCTGTCCTACCCTAAAGCTGTTTGGAAAATGATAAAAATAACTGTTTTCCGAGTAATCCGCATTTCTCAGCAGCCAGGTTTTGCAGGTTGCTGCACTCTGACTGCAGTCACTGCTGGCCAGCGGCAAGGGACGAGTGTCCGAGAGTGCCCGAGTTGGGCAGGCTCCAGGCACGGAGGGTCCTGAGGAGCCCATGACTCGTTGCACACCGGGGAACGTGTGATGGCTTCTGCTTCAAGCTAGAGTTGGTGTTAGATTGACAAGATCAAGTGACAACACAAGGGTAGACACCTCTATCTGCTGCATGCATAATCCTGCATGCTGAACCCCCACCAAACTCATCCCCAGGTCTTATCTTTCCTATCCTGAGTGTTTATTCATGTGGTTGTTTTATGTAAACTGCAAAGAGCCTCATTCGTTATTAAGGTGGAACAGAGCTCGGAACACAGCGAGATGTTCAGTGAAATGGGAAGGCTGCTGTGTCACTTGGGGGTGAAATATTTAGTGCCTTGGGCATCAGCTGCTGCCCAGGGCTCAGCCCAACCATACCCCAACCTTGCAGCCTGAGGCTGAGGGGCACTTTTTTACCAGTGGTTTTGCAGACAGAGCCCCACAGCACAGGAATGTGGGTGCTCTCAAAGCAAAACACGAGCATTTCTGTGATTCCACATTCTCATGTATTTTATACATGCTAATGAAGGATTTTGAAAGGAGGCAGACACACGTGCTTAAGAAAGTACAGGCGGTGGACGTGTTTGCGGATGATTTCTGCAGTATTCCCCTCTGTCCCTGCTTCGCCGGCCATGGGGATCATGCAGCCGCTGCAGCACATCCAGCGCCACGCAGGAGTCACAGCGTTCTGTTCCCAGGTGGTGTGCAGTGGCTTATCTGGCTAAAATGAGAGAAGGTAACAAATCAATATTAAACATTTGCATCTTTCTTTCCAACAGGCAACTTTTCAGGGACAGCTTGTTTTCCACAGCAAGGAACTGCCTTTTTATGCAAACCGTTCGGCGACATTAGCATGCTCGGTGCAAATCTGCACGCTGTCATACTTCTTATCTCAAGGACAGAACCTGTGACAGCAAAATGCCCCATCCATCACATGGAAATATTAGCAAGTGTCCAGTCCTCTTTCGTGTGAGTAAAGCCTGCGACTTGCTGGTTTCCTGCCAACTTGACCACTTTCCAGAGCTGTTACACACTGCTCCAGACACGAAAACAAACCGTTTGTTTCTTCGTGGCAGCGGGCGGGCATGATTAAGCCATCGTCTGCTTGTGAAAAGAGCTAGAAAAGGTAGAAGGTGACTCGAGTGGGAGCCTGTGAGCGCGGACGGCCGCGCTGTGCCCAGGCCCCGCGCTGCTGCCTGGTCCTGGTTTCTAGCCCTGGTGCTTGTGCACTCTGCGCTCCCGCGTGTTTTGCTTGGCTCTTTCAATCCCCTGGGGCATATCTCTGAGCTGGAGAACTTTAGAGCTGATATCGCTTTTTAAAGTGGGGATTATGTAAATGCATATTATGGGGCTTTCATAAATAGGGATTATTTGCCGAATACATTTGAATGCTTCCTTTGGAGCCATTAGGGTCTGTTGTGTAAATAGGAATTTAGTGACTGCTTAAGCTAGACTTCATTGATTCAATAAGGACTACAACAGCATTTTTTGTTTCAATTTTGGCCTCATGAAGAACTATTATTGGACAATTTTCAAATTATTACAGAACTGTATATGAATAAAGCTAATCATACTGGGCACATGTGTATTAGCCATTCTCCACAGCTCCTTTGCTCTCTCTTCCTTTCTGGTTCTGTGGGTAGAAACACTGTAGTTTCAGCCACCGACTTGTTCATTATCACTCGCCAAGTCAAGAAGGTGTTTGCAAGTCCAGGTGAGCAGAGTAAAACGATCTTTTACTGAAAAATGCAAAAAGTTACAGCTGTCCAAAGAGTGGTAGATTAAATTACCTGTGCTCTCCTCCTTGATGAATGGCATCTGAACAAAGCTCCAGAGGCTCTGGGAAACACTGTGTTGCCTGCAGAGAGGGCTGGGAGCTGGGCAGGAGGCAGCACCTCGTGGACCCGGCAGGACCCCCGGGCCAAGGGCTGTCCCCTGTGCTTGGCCTCGGCGCTGGCCCTGGGAATCGCAGGGGTGTTTCCAGCAGCTCTGCTCCCCGCGGGAAGGCCCCGGCAGGGACCCTGGGAGCACAGCTGGGCACATCTGCAGCAGCTGCACAAAGAGCCCATCGCCCTCCCTGCGGGTCCGTGCTTGGCTTCCCCCACAGCTCCTGGGCATGGGGGTCCGTGCCCACTGATGGGGTGGCTGAGGAAGGGGCTGAAGGGGGATTTCTCATCTCTCTCTGCTATCTATAATGTTTAAATGTGACTTTTATTGAGCAAAACAAGCCCAATACACAATCCATGCACAATGCCTTGGTTGGCAAAGATCATTAGATCAGGCATAAACCAATATTACTGTCTAAATGGTCTGTGATGGGGCCCTAAGCCATCAAACACATATTTTCTCCTTTGGTGAATTCTGAAATAGATAAACAGATAAAAGTTTGAAATTAGATCCAGTCCTTGGCCTTTGGAAACGATTAACTTCTACTAATGATTTACACACAGTTTATTTGCATAAAGTTAGAGCTGAGCACATTTATTCCTTCCCTTAAAGTGGATATAAATATCCAAAGCAATTGGCTACCAAAAAATTTGAATATTCTGGCACTGCATCGTGGAAAGCTGACATGAATATGAGTCAGGGTGAGGAAAGAATACACCGAAAATTCTTATCCAAGTATGCTATTTTGCAGCATGTCACCGAATCCTTGGGAAGGGTTTGCAAACAATATATTTGAAAAAAAAAAAAAAAAGAAGAAGAAAAGCATGACTTCCAACCAGTGCTCCTGCAGCCAAAAATTGCCCTTTTCTCACCCACGTGCGTGGGAGGTGGCACAAGCCGGGTACAGAGGGACGCGGCCGGGGCAGGAGTGCGGGCGAGGGGCCCCATCCCGCGCCCCTCGCCGCCTCCGCCGCCCTCCGCCCCGGCAGCCTCGCACCG